GCCCCCGCAAGAGTGGCAGGGCCGGGACAGGAACCCAGGAGTCCTCGTGCCCAGCGGAGACTGCATCAGGCAGGTGTTGGCTTTACTGAGACTTCAGAGCTTTTCTGGGGTCGCTGGCTGCCTGCTCTCCCCCGACCCGAACGTCTGGGGAGGTCAGTGAGGGTCTGCAAGCGGGAGGGAGGTAGAGGTGCTGAGACTGTAATTCCAGTGGGGGTGGCATGGGGATTGGGCGGTGGAAGGATGAGCCTGGGGGAGGAGGCGACACCTGCCCCCCTAGTTCCCATCCAGCAGCCGCCCCCAGGGCTGTGGTTTATCTGACTGGGTAGCTCTTTTGGGCTAGGGGGCCAGAGGGCTGAGGCGGGGAAGGGAGGTGATGGGAAAAGCAGCTCTGGGGCTTCCTGCCCCCTCAGTCCTGGGGAAGGGGGGCATTTTACATCACCCACAGGCCCTCTAACCTCCATTCTTTCCACTGCGGCGCTCTTTCCTTGGGTCTGTTCGTGTTATTCTGGGGGAAGGTCTGTTATTTGGGGGGAAGGGAGGCAGCTGCCTACTTCACAGGTCAAGACAGAGTTAAAAACAAAACCGCAGCAAATTCAACACCCCGTGTCCTTCAGGGACTTTCCATGACACCTTCCTTCCCCCCTCTCCCCCAAGCCAGGGAGTACCTCCCCAGAGGGCCTCCCCACCCCAGGTGCAGCGGCTTTTGGCTTTTATGCAAACAACTGTCTGACCCTGGAATGCTCTGCAGCCCAAACTTGTGTCCTGGGCAGCAAGTGCCCCTCCACCAGCCCTCAGCCTTCCCAGCCTTCCCAGAGCTCTCACCTCCACTCTTCCTCAGACTCTGGGTGTTGGGAGGTGGGAGGCAGGGAAGGCGGATAAATCCATGTCCCTCTGCCTGCCCTTGGGTGGCAGTTGCCTGCAGGTGGAGGTTTGGGCACCACAGCCTCTGTGAATGGCTTGGTTGTGTTGAGTGATGGGGGAGGAGGAGGGTGCAGGTGTGGGGTGGCCTCCATTGCCAGGCCCACAGGCCTCTAAAGCATCAAACTCGTTCCCAGGAATTAGAAAAGGAAACCGTCCTCAGGCTGGAAGTTCATTCAGCCGCAGCCCCAGCCCCACAGCCGGCTGTGGATCTCTCTCCACTGCTCGTTGGCCAAGGAGATCCGAGTACCCCTGCCTCCCTTTTCTCCCTGAGCTTCAAGAAGGGCGTGGGGATGGAGACGGCCACCTACTCTTCTCTCCAGGGCTGCAAACCAGCCTACTGCGAGGCCATTTTGGAATGCGTTCAATGTTACCATACAAAGACAGGCTGCCGTGCACGGGTCTGCTCTCCCTGCCCTCGGTGCTGAGACTGGAAAAACCTGCTGGAGATCCTCCAGCCGGTCTGGTGGTGCCGAAGGTAAAGCCAGCGAGAGCTGCCACCCACCTGCCTCCCTGAGTTCGCTAATCCCGAACCCCAGAAATGTCTTCCTCCTGCTTCTGCCCCAGAGGAGGGGGGAAGGGAGGCGTTTTTGAAGAGGCTGAGCAGAAGCCCAGACCACCCGTCAGATTCTCTTCTGGTATTTTCTAAAAGGCGACAGAAAACTTCCAGACAGGAAGGGAGCTGCACGATCCCCGGGCCGCTCTCCCGGGACTTTTCCCAACGCCGTGGGTGCGGGCCTCCGGGGATCTGAAGGCGATATTCACGTGTGGTTTGGCAACTGCCACTGGAGTTTCCCAGCGTGGACGGATGTTCCTGAGACCCCAGGGATGAAAAAGTCAGGACTTGCCTATCTTTTGGGAAGAATCCCTGCAGGGAGGGCGGGCAGGGGAGCGTCCTGGAACTCCCTGGGAGACACCGTGCTCACGGTGTTAATGTACTGGTCCTGTCCGGTCTGGGCCCGAACTCCTCGAGTCCCCTTCGTGACCTAGGGAGCAGGGGACCGAGAACATCACTGTGGGGACACGGGCCAGCCAGCCGCAGCATGCCACTGGCAGGCTCGGCAAGGCGTCTGGTGAGATGCTTCACTTAGGTGACAATTCTGTTCATCTCGATACTTGGACTTGAAGCCAGAGCAGGGGGGTGGGGGCCACTAAATTAGGAACTGCTCCGAGAGGCAGAATGAAACCCTTCCATTTTCTGACAGTAGCGGCTACAAATGACAGGCGGGCGCAAGGCTGAATTTTAAACACACCTATATTTTTAAAAAAAAAAATTTCACTGTAAAAATCAAATGTGATAAAGACACCTTGAAAACTATCAGCAGGGCTGTTTTTGGTGCGGGGAGGCACTCAGGATGGCTGCGGCAAGGTTAGCATGGCTGCCTTTCAGGAGCACGCTCCTTCCGGACGGCAGGGTGCCGAACAGAGCTCCCGAGGTGGCACTCCAGGGAAAACGCCAGAGGGGGCCGGAGGGAAGGCCACTGCTGGGCGGGGTGGGCATTTCCAAGAAACCCAGACGAGAATGCCGTGAGCACAGGCTGTGTCTACGTCTACACCACTCAGCAAGGCCTCCCTCCCTCGCTCCTGGTGGAAAGGCCAGCACCGTGAGCCCCAAACCACGTCCCCTCCCTCCCCTGTCATTTTGCAGACAGGGGTCATCCACAGACCACACATGAGGTGGCTTTGGCAACCAGAAATTAAAAATACGCTCTGGTTTTTCCAGTAGCCAAAATGATCCCTCACCAAAGCTCGCAGACTGAGAACCTGAACATGTAAAAACCACAGTCTGGGTGAAGGGATGTCTGCTTTTCAAATGACCTGCTCATTCTTTGCAACCCACAGTAATTCGGTTTCCGTGAACCCACAGGAGCAGGCCCACCGAAAAGGGCCTTGTCTGCTAACCTGGAAGAGTCCTTGCCTAAATGAGTCACGCTGACAATGGGATCGGCCATTTTTTAAGGCTGCCCCATTTTCCTAACGCGTTAAAACGTCCTCAGCCTTCCTAAGAGAGGAAGAAGCAGACGCTGCACTTAAGTTGAGAATATGAAATAGGGCGTTGTGGGCAGCTCCCCGGGCTTTCTAGAGCCGGGCAGTGGGGAGATGGACCATGAGGACCATTTGGAGAGACTCTAAGTTGCTTGGGCAATTGGTGGCTGGGGGGTCACAGGCCAGGAAGGGAGCAAAGCTAGTCTGCTTCCCTGGCTGCTGTGCCATGAAGGACCTGAAGCATGTGGTTCACTCACGCTGGTTCTGCATATTCTTTACTGCATTAAGACAACATGAAGGAAGCCGTGTGCTAGAGACCAGTTGCCTCCATTGGCAACCGAATTACTATTATGGCCTGAGTATGGTCTTTGGATACTTCCCATGTCTTTAAATCCAGAGACAGGACTCCAGCAAAAACTTGCAACCATCCAACATAAACCCCTTGCCCCTTGGGAAGAAAAATCCACATAAACACCCCATAGACAAAATTAGATAAAACCTCATAACATCCTTTTATTTATTCATCAAATATTTTAATCCAAATATTAACATTCCGGGGTCAAATAACTCCATAGCAATGTATAAGACAGCCCAGCATGCTGTAGTCAGAGGAAACTGGCATTGGGTTTCTCCTAAGCACAAACCATTGTTCAGCGTATTGATGGTGTGTGAGGCGAGGACTATATACAGCTTGGACTGTGAGCTCCCACACGGTGCCAGCCTACAGCTCCCTTCCGAGTCCATGGTCTTTAGAGGCTGTGGTCCCCAACTCCGGGTCCGAGGATCACAGTTCGGTCCTTCTGCTTTAGAAAACGGAGTCCTTCCCCTGGGCTGGCCCAAGTCTAGCCTTTGGTCTCAGGTCCCAATAGTCCTCTTTACAGGCACTTGAATCCCTAAGCATTCTGTTTTCCTGAACTACGAATATAGATTCTGAACTATACTTTCTGTCTGAGCACAAAAATAGCTCCCAACCCTTTAAGAGAGAAGAGACATCACTGTATCATAGACGAGGACAACGGTAGGCTGATCAGCGGAGGGAAAGGCGGGCGGGCAGGGGGAGGTGGAAGAGGGTGACAGGGGGATGATGGAGATGACTTGGGGTGGTGAACACCCAGTACATCATCATACAGATGATGTGTGATAGAATTGTACACCTGAAACCTGTGTCATTTTATTAACAGATGCGACCCGATATATCATTGCATACCTCTCATCTTCACAGCCTGATGCTGTGTTAAGGGCCGCCGCTTCCATCCCCCCACTTGTTTGCCCTTCTGGAGCTCACAGGCCCTGATTCGGAGTCTTTGTGAAAGAGATTAGCCGTGTCCGAGGGCTCCACTCTTGAGCGTCCCTGAGTTTTCAAATCTCCGTAGAGATTGAGACATCCGCTCCCAGTGGGACACACTGCAAACGTTAAGGACTTTGTAAAAGGTGTAACATTTGACATTTCTAACACAGCCTTACTGCCCAGCCTGGCACATGTACCAAAAGTACTGCCTTTCCCCTTAAAACATTCCAAAGCTCACGTTTAGCAGAGAAGAATAAGAATAGGGATACAGAGGCTATTTGGGAGAACTAGGCTGACGTAAGCTTTAATAATACAGTGTTTCAACTGAGCACAATTTTGTGTTTATAAAAATTTCTCTTTGCAAAAAAAAAATCTGAGGTCACTTCATATCTGGGCCAACATGAGCATGGGCTTCTTAGCAAAATGTTAAGTGCTGCATTTATTTATTTATTTAAAGCTTAAAAAATAAAGTTTAAAACATTTTAAAAAATCTTCCCTGGAGGACATTTTTTCTTCATTGCTTTTAGAGCAAAAGGGAAGCGGGGCGGGGGGGGAGAGAGAGAGAGAGAGAGAGAGAGAGAGAGAGAGAGAGAGAGAGAGAAACATCCATTCAAGAGAGAAAACATTGACTGGCTACCTCCCACACGTGCCCTGACTGGGAATAGAACATGCAACGTAGGTATGTGCCCTGGCCAGGAATCGAACCTGAAAACTTTCAGTGTATGGGACAACGCTCCAACCAACCAAGCCACACCAGCCAGGGGCTGTTTTTTAATTAAAAAAAAAGTATTGATTGATTTGAGAGTGAGAGGAAGGGTGGCAGGAGGGGAGGGGAGAGAGGGAAGGAGGGAGGGGGAGGAACATTGATTTGTTGTTCCACTTACTTATGCATTCATTGATTGATTCTTATATGTGCCCTGACGAGGGACTGAACCCTGTCCAACAGGGTCAGATGTGAGTCCTGCCCCAGCCTTGCCCTTTTCTCTGGGCATCTGCTAAGATTCTCCCTTACCCTCTTCCCCCAGCCGCAGAAGGGGAGGGTGGGGGTCAGTAGTTGGTATAAGGGGTCCCTACAGAAGGCAGTGTTCACCTGTGTGGTGGTAACTACTGGGTGCCATGTAGTCTAGCTTGAGGGTTTAAGAATGCGGAGTTTCCACACACGAATTTTCTCTTGACTGGATGTGCCCCCACTAGGCACCAGATCCCGCAGTGAAAGTGCAGCCCTGGTAAATCATTCAGAAAACCCATTAGTCACAGGGAAAATAAGGGTCATAGCGACAAAACAACATCTCCAGGTGGGTGGGATGGGCCTTAGTTTCATTACCTTAAGGTGCAAAAGTTGATGTCTTCAGTGAAGATTTTCCCACTAATCTGGTGGAAATGCTCGCTTGCTCTAGCTGTCTTTCCCACTAATCCTTGCTTCCCACTCCTCCTCCTTCCGTCCCCTGAAGAGTCCACAGGGTGTGTGATATTTCAAGCATATAATAAGCAGCTCCTCTTTCACGATGGGTATAAGGAACCTGGCGCAGCTTGGAGTCTCGGATTATGGAAACACAGTGGTATACTGAAGACTACCCCCGAAATACATCTAGTCTTTTAGCTGCAATCTCCAGCATGTTGGGACTGTTGCCATGGAATTTCACACCATCTTTTTTCCTGAGACAGACGCCATGCTACAAAGAGGGATAAGCCATTTGTGCAGTCTGAGGTGGAACATTTTAATTACATAAACGAGCTTGAGCCTAGTGCAGAAACCCTTTCGAAACATCAAGGCAGACGCCTCAAACGCTAATCTACCAGGAATTAGGGATTCTTGGCTCTGGTAGAAATGTTCCCCGAAGCTGACCCTTGATTTGTAAATAGGCTCCAGGAAGTTGTCCCTGGAAGCAGAACTTATTTTCCCTGACACAGAGCTCTCAAAAGTGGGGGGCGGGGCGGGGCGGGGAGGGGGGGAGGCGTCGGTAGGCAGCTGCAGGTGCTGGTTTGTCTATACACTTTGGGGAAGATCAAAATACCTTCCTGTTTTTTGTTCCTCTCCGCCATCCTCTTCACATTCACAACTCAGTGGTTAAAGGAAAAACTTAACACTACTATTTTCACACCAAAGACATGTGAAACACATATTCATACAAAGAGTCTTCTGCTTAGTACTTAATGCTGCATAAATGCTGACTTTTTCAAACGTTCATGGGTATTTAATACCCATACCTCAAGAGCTTTAAAAAATAGCTGGTTGTGGCATAATTACATACATTTAAAGTTGGAAGGGGCCTTAGAGAGTGTCTAAATCCAACTCTTACTCAATGGTTGAGGAAACTTAGTTTTCAGGGTTAAGTGATTTGTCCAAAGTCCTACAGCTAATTAGGAGCAAACATGGAATTAACAAAAGGATTCTGTGACCCCTATTCATTCCGGTGCTAGTTTTACAGTTATCACAGAGGTTTTTGTTTTGGTTTTTGGGTATTTTTTTTTTTTTTTGAGAGCATGCCTCCCATAATCAAGGATAAAGATGGCCAGAACCATCTGCAGAACCAAGATCATAACCAAACACAGGTCAGGCTAATACTAGAGAGACAGGTGCTGACCGTAAAGGAAAGGGGCTTATTTTCAGGGGCTGGAAACCTGGAAGATGGGGGACTCTTGTCTCAAAGCCCATCGCAACCTCTCGGGGCAGGCGGAGGTTTTTATGAGGAGGGAGAGGGGAAGAAGAGCAAAGAGCTCAAGGGAGGGGGTTGCAGAGTTCTCTAGGTGCAGGTGAGCTCAGTCCGCTCCGATAAGGCAAGGGAAGGTCTGGGGTGCGTCACCCTGGCCCCACGGTGACGGTCAGCAGACCTGGCAGAGATGGGACGCCTCAAGGCTGGCGTCTGTGTCTTTTGAAGTTAGTTCCTAGGATTCCGATACAAACATGCTATTTATCTACAAGCCACACATTGGTCAGAGTCAGCGTTTACAGAGACGACATCGAAAGAACGGTGGGCTGGGTTGTAATTCCCCACTGTCCCAACCAGACTGTCAGGTGTCTATGTGGAATACGGCAGCTCCATTCAAACGCGGAGAAAGAACCCCCCCCCACCCCCCGCCTGATGAAGAACCCATCAGCGGAGGTGCCCCCGCTCACCCCATCGTGAAGCCCGGCTCTGATTTAACACGCTCATGCCGTCTATTCCTGAGTCCTTGCCTCTGGATTCTTTTCTTTCTTTCTTTTTTTAATTGTTGCCAAGTTTGCTTTGGATCTGTACACTCCACGAAGGAGACCAGGAAGTCCAGGGAGGCGTTGAGTTTTTTCCTGCACTGGTGGTGCTGCTGAACCGTCTTCCTCCCCGCGGAGCCCAGCGCTGCCAGTCTGGTCACAGGAAATGGATGCGGTGGTTCCCAGTGGCCAACGTCCTCGAGTTTCGACCACAGTCTGTATCAAAAACCATCCGTTTTTCTGGGGTAGAATTTCTCCTCTAGAAGACTGCTTTACGCCAAAGCAGCTTTTAACGGGAGACGGAAGAGTGAAGAGGAGAAGCAGAAGTATTATCAGATGACTTGTTTTTTTGTTTTGTTTTGTTTTGTTTTGTTTGTTTATGTGATAAGAAATCGATGTGATGCTCCAAGACTGAATCATCAGTGATTGGTAACAGGCATTGTTTTGATGGCTAGTCTTTTCCTTGCTATTAAACTCTAATTGGGGCGGGAGGTTCGCTGCTAACCCTTCCGCCTTGGGCTAAGGGCAGAAAGACAGGGCTTCCCAGCAAGGTCGGGTGGTCGGCTCTCCTGTGCGGCCTGGGCTCGGGACCCAAAGGCTTTGGCACGTATGGCTGACGCAGCTCAGAAAGAGTGTCTCGGGCTGCACAGCGGGAAGACTCTTTGGGTCTAGCAACACACTCCAGGGCAAGCTCGTTCTATCGACGCAGAAGACAACGACCAAATACTGCACTGGCTTTTAAATGGCTTGGAGTTGAAGGCACTAATGGGAAAAGAAAGGTTTCACAAAAGTAGTAACACTAGTATTCTCTGCAAACAACTTTTGAATGGAGACGTTTCTCTCTGGCCAATGCGAACCCTTTGGATACTAAAAGTGGTATAAAAAAGAGGCTGCAAGTGACGTGGTTTTGATAGTGATTCGTTAGGCGGGCGTAGTAGCATTTTTTCAAACGCGATGTTGAACGCGCAGGCGCAAACCTCCTCCGGCGGCAGGCGCTCCTTCACTTCAGCGCGGCCCGGTGCTCTCCCCGGGCTATGTGGGACGAGAACTCGTACCGGTCGTGGCTGCGGTGCCCGCACATGTTGCACTCGAAAGGGTCGCGGAAGCCGTGGCAGCCCATGTGGATGGTGAACATCACGTAATCCAGGAAGAGGACGCGGCAGTGGTCACAGCGGAACACGTCCATCACCTCCCCTTCCTTGTTGATCACCTTGATGGAGTCCCGCGGGCAGATGGGCGGGGGCTTGAGGAGTTCGTAGGAGCGCGGGACCTCCTTCAGCAGCGGCATGCCGTTGCGGGCCCGCGGGGGCACCATGTGGTTCTGCTGGTACAGGTGATTCTGGCGTTCCTCGTGGTTGCTGTCAGTGTCCGTGGAGTCGTGGCCACTGTTGTTGGGGGAGAGGCCCCTCTCGGAAGGCAGGCCCTTCTCTGGCAGGTGGACGCTCTTCTTCTCCAGGTCCTGGGGGGCGCCGTTGGGCATCTCGGCGCGGGTGAGGGCTATGGGGTACATGCTGCTGATGACTGGAACCATCTCCGAGGTGGGAGCGGGCGGCGTCTGGACCAAGGGGCGCAGGGCCTCGGCGCCAAGGTAGCTGATGGCGTTGTTGATGGCCTGGTCCATCATCCGGGTCTGCATCATCTCGCTCTCCTTCTCGTACATGTAGCTGGGATTGTAGCCGACGTCGAAGCAGTGGCGCTTCTCACCTAGAACGAGAGGAAGGGTGGGTCACGGGAGGAAAAACACAAAGGCGGAGGCTGGACACCGTCATCTTTCAGAGTCTTTGGAAAGGTGTGAAAGGACGCCTTTCCTGCTCAGGAGCTCCCAGCCTGGGCAGAAGGGCTCCACGTGGTGCTGCAGTCTCCGGGGACGGAGGTTGGCTGCACACACCTGGGCAGTCACACTAAATTAGGCCGGCAGGTTAGAAAGGGCGAGGCAGAGACGCTGTTCAGCCGAAACTCCAGTGTTCGCTGTTTCCATTGCTCAGTGGGAGGGGAACTCTGGAGGAAACGAAGCACCAGAGCTCGGGGGGGCCTGGCTGTAGAGGGGCTCCCAGTGCAGGAGCTTGGGCGGGGGTGTGGGGGGTGTGTGGGGGGGTGTGGCCTGCACTGCTGAGCACGAACTGTGAAGACACAGTCAATCCTCCGGCTCTTATTTTGCTTGTCAGTTTCTGCTGGAAACACTAGAGAGCCAGGGGGGCACGGAGGGATTGCCCAGAGTGGGGTGATCTGTGACTGGCCTGCGGCTTTTAGAATAGCACAGGGGTAGGAAAAATAGCCTCAGAAACTCCCCACTCCCTGCACTTGCCACGCCCCAAACACATCAGTCACCAGACTGGCTGAGATTTCAGCAGAGGAGCTTCCAATGCAGAAAGTTTTAGAAGAGCTTTCTTGATGAGAGAGCACGGTCTGTGTCCCCTTCACAGAGCAGGTGATTCTCTTTTGCTCGACAAAAAAGCATGTACCAGGGGTACGTAGGTGATCATTAGGAGCTATCTCACACTTAACTGAAACATTTATTTGTGGTCACCCTCTCCTCCTTCTCATTTCAAACTGCTGAGAAATTTTGAGAATAGTTTAGCCACCTTCGGGGCGTGTGGGTGTTGTGTGTTACAAAACAGAGGCTCTCTGGCCACGGGGAAGGCAGGAGCGGGGTCTGCAGTGATGGCAGAGGTGCCGAGGGGCGAGCGGCTTGGGGGGGAAGGAAGAGAAAGTGGGGACGGCGTGTCAAGGGCTACAAGTAGGTCTAAGGTTACTGCTGATGCTTTCATTCTTCGGGAGACCATAGCCTCTCTCCTGTAACATTTCCTGGGCGTTCATCACCACCGTACAGTACAGGGTTCAGTCATGAGGAAGACCCATAAGCAAACCAAAGGACTGGAAGAACCAATTCCTTTTCCTGAGGTCTCGCCAACCGCCTGGGGGAGAAATGAGACCTGCATATATGGAACTGGAGAACAAGAAATGTGAAAAGTAACGAAAGAGATGCTCCCTCTGGAGGCTTTTGATTTTATTCCAAGGGCCGTGTTTGAGGCATTTAAGCAGGAGAGTAATAGGTCTTTTATAAAAAAGGATCATCAGGCAAGGGCAAGGTGGTTTGGTACAAATTGTTCACTTAATTGTTAAAGGAATGCACAAATTTCAGGAGCACTTGGCGGCCGGGGGGAAGAGAAATCATTCTGGGAAAACCGAAATGTTGAGAAGCGTCTTGAAATGGCAGGATTCAGATTTTCAGAGAGGGAGACAAGGCATCCTCGGCGAGGGAGGAGCGGGAATGAAGGCGGGGAAGCAGGCCTCGAGCAGGGACGAGCAAGAACGTCTGGCTGCAGCTAATGTCAAGAAACGTGAAATAAAGTGTTTCCTAAACTCCACGTATCCCTCCGCATTCTGCGACATTCACACACCAGGGCAGGGCGCGAACACTGGAGTCCCACACGCTGGGTTCAATGCTGGCGCATCGAGTACCAGCGGCACGACCTCGAGCAAGTTATGGAACCCGTCCGCAGCTCCGCGTCCTCCCGTGAAATGGGGGTGGCGATCGCATCTGCCTCCCGGGGGCGCTGGTGAGCACTCAGAACAGTGCCTGGCGCACAGAAAGCCCTTGGTAAACGCCAGGGATTTTTGTTTTGTTTGAATCAGTCTGAATGTTCTTCCTTCCTCCCCCCCCCGCTTCCCTCCCTTCCTTCCTCTCTCCCTTCCTTCCTTTTATTTTTGTTAAAATAAATCTGGTTTTAAAAGGAAACTTGACATCACCAGCATAAACAGAAAACCAGAATCACTTGCCACAAATAGAAGGTAACTGTGAAAAAGAGAGCCAGTGAAACAGAGCAATTGATCCAGTCCTGATCAGACACCCCGGTGAGTACCTAAGACAAAGACACCCCTTCTCTTTTTCCGACACAGAGCTCACCAAATATGAGATGAGAGTTAGACAACTAGCCTCAAAATGAGTTTCAATCTTTCTCCTCATTATCATCGGGGAGATTGAAAGAGACCTAAACATGTGGGCCTCCTGGCACTTGGCACCCCACATTTTGGGAGACACTGAGAAAGACAGCACACGGTGGAACCACACGATGGCATTTGGGACAGTCAACCATAAGGTTTGTGTTTGAACCAACAGCAAACCACTGCATGCCCTTCGACAAGGGAGGCTTGCGGTCAAAATACTAGTTTCGGGCCCTGACTGCTGTGGCTCAGTTGGTTGGGCATCGCCCCACAAGGTGAAGCTCACCCATTCGATCCCTGGCTGGGGTGCATACCTGGGTTGTGGGTCTGGTGCCCAGTCTGGCACGTACCAGAGGCAACCAATCAATGTTTCTCTCTCACATCGATGCTTCTCTCCCTCTCTGTCTCCTTCCCTTCCCCTCTCTCCAAAAATAAATTAAATCTAAAGATAATTATTTTCAGGATATTAATGTAACAGCAATGTGTAAGATGAACAAGAACAGTGAGAAATTGGAGCCAGAAAGACCAGCTAAAAGATTTAACGTCATCAAATGAACTTGGCCTGCACCCTTACTACCTTAAGGCCGACCTGATGGTTTCTAGACAAATACCTGAGAGAGAAAATGTGCAAAGAAAAACACCTCGCCTTGGCAACTCAATAAAAGGCCACAGAAAAGCAGACCTTTGACAAAGTGATCCACGGTTCTTCCTCATTTCCAGCTTCCCGATTGGACATAGCTTTTAAAAATATATATTTTCTTTATTTTTTGAGAGATAGGAAGGGAGGGAGCAAGACAGGGAGAGAAACATTGGTGTGAGACAGAAACATCTATCGGTTGCCTCTTGCACGCGCTCCGACCGGGGACCAAACCTGCAATCCAGTCACGTGCCTTGACCAGAGACTGAACCAGTGACCTTTTGCTTTGTGGAAGGACACCCAACCCGCTGAGCCACACCAGTCAGGGCTTGGACGTGTCTTAGATCAAGGCCGTTTGGAGGAATGAGACCGAGAACAGGAAAGCCAGCCAAGGTCACAAATGTTCACTCCCCTGAGGGTTGACCCAGAAATGATGAACTTCGGTTTCTTGGCCTTTTCATGGTTATTGATGATTTTCCAGCGTGCCCAGCTCTACTCAACTCCCCCAATCCCAAGGGTCACTGAGAATTTTTTTTTAATCTTTTCCCCCAACAGAGAGGCTCTGGAAAGTTTCTGGGGCGGGATGGGCACAACACGAGCTAAGCTTTCACCCTTTCTCCTGAGAGCTGGCTTTGCTGAAGCAGGCCTACAGTTGAACAGCTTACACCACCTGCAGCACCTCTCAGAAAACAGCTGAGTGCTGAAGTTACAAGAGGCAAAACATGAAGAGGAAAATGAACCTCTGGATGAGTGGAAATAGGCGACCGGGTTCTGCGGTTAGCACAGACCATCGTTCGTCGTGGAGTAGATGGGAGAGCCTCAGATCTTCACGTGCACACACCCCGAAGTCATCAGATCCCCTCGGCTCCGAGTTACGGTAACTTGAATTGTGCAGATGATTATCAGTCACCTGGAGACTCGATGACTCAATGTGTATGAAACTCAGAAGGGGTAAGCTACAGTAATTGAAAAGCCAACAGCTCACGTTTCTTTAGTAACACACTCATAAAAAAGGTTAGGCAAACCACAACAATGTAACTGCTCCCAGACCTGCGCGGAGCCTCTGGTCCGGCTTCTAGTCAAAATCATACCACACCTTTGAATGACTAATGGTAGCGGCTTCGGGCTGAATTAGAGGTTTTTCTTCCAATGAAAATACAGATGGCAACCGAAACTCTTAAGTTTAGAAACCAAGGCTGCCTGTTTAGGCCATTCCCTACCTGCAATTCTTTTTAAAGATGTTGGCCCCTACTATTTCGGGTTTGGTAACTCTAAACGGGGCCACCATCTATCCTGAATCGCTGCAGTGTGGCCAGGGCATGATGTTGCTGGCTTCCGAGTGCCAACTACAAGTACAGAATCACAGCCTGGAGCTAAAAGGGACCTTCCCTGAGCACGTGGATTCAGGCCTCCACCTTAGGGCTGGAGGGACAAGACCCGCCACCATCCTGATCTGTTTACTTCTGGTCTTCATCCTTCACAGTACCAAGCACTGTGCCTTATATGTAATACTAATATAAATAGTTGAGCCTTTACTATATACCCAGTGCTGTCCTAGGGACTTTGCATATTGTCTCATTTTTACCTAAGACGAGCTATCCTCTCTCAGTCACGTGAAGAACCTAAACTGCAAACAGGTGGACCTGCCAAGGTTGCTCAGTTGGTGAATGCAGAGGCAGGAGGTAATCCAAGGGCCCTTCCATCTGCTGTGTATTTGAGCGTTAACTGCTGTTTCCCGGCTGCTACCTGACCCCTGACTGCACGATGCTGCCACTGGCAGTGACTTCAGGGAAAAGCAGCTGTGCCTGGTTCCATATGGACCGGCGCCGTGCATTCAGGAAATACCTATGATGCGAAGAGCCATGAGCTCTATAAGGTGCTAACAGAGTGCCTGGCATAGGTAAGCACTCAGTAAGTGATAGTAGATCTATCATCGTCATCATCATCATCATCATCATCATCATCATCACACCATGCTAGGTGCTTTGGGGAATAATACAAACAATTGCAATCGAATAGGAGATGCAGCATTTACACAATTTCGTTACAAATCACCGTCCTATACTCTATGTGGTAAAACCAAGTATACAGGAGCCAAGGGAGTGAAGAGAGAAAAACACAG